TTTGCCATTTCCTTCTCCAACCCATTTTACAGATGAGGAAACTGAGGCAAACAGGCTTAAGTGACTTGCTAAGGACTAGCTCGTAAGTGTCTGAGGCTGGATTTGAATTCAGGGAGATGAGTGGTTTAATGGTCAACAACTTAACAAACATTTATTATGCATCTACTATATGATAAGTATCTTAAGAGATACAAAAGAAGGCCAAAACAGTCTCTTCTCTCAAGGAACTCACAGTCTAATGGAGGAGATAATATGCCAGTAACTATGTATAAACAAGCTATAGACAGGGTAAATGGGAGATAATCACAGAGGGAAGGCCCTACCATGAAGGGAGGTCTTATAATAGGCTTATGATCAATCAGCTGAGAGTTAGTCCTCTCAAGGAAGAAAAAGAAAGGGGGGGGTGGTCTTTAGTGAAGTTCTGCCACCGACTTCATGGCTACATCTCCAGTCCTTCTTATTCCTACACATTTTCTTGAGATACTTTCAATAATCAGATTAATTCCTCAGGGCCATAATGATGGCTATAGTGGAGCCTTTGAGATTACGGAAAAATTAGAGCTGCTGATAATTATTTAATAGATTTCTGGTTAAGGTCATTTTTATGCCTTTAGTTTGCTTTCAGTGAGCACCTTTGGTCTCAGTGCCAACACATTTGGTCTCAGTGGGGTCTGTGACTTCCACCTCCTTTTCTCTTCCCCAATCAAGCACAATTTACTGTTTTGAGCCTCAGGTGCATGAAAGGTCTTCTGGGGGGGGGAGGTTAAAGGTTAAAGAGAAAGAGGTTAAAAAGGTTGTGAAGCTAGGAAATTGTTGACCATTAATTCTCTGTATTAATGAAGCATGCCTTATCTCTCAGGTTTGGGGTGAAGGGGATAATACCATTACTACTAAAAAGATACTTATATCAGTATTATGCTTTAAAATGAAAAAAGAAATAATTTTACACAGGTTCATAGAGCTAAGAGGGACCTTAGAGATCACCCCACCCCTTTTATACATGAAGAAACTCAGGCCCAGGAGTAGGATTCTAGGTCCTTTGACTGTAAATTCAGATCAAAGATACTTTTCACTAACTCAGCACTGTTGGCTGGTAATAGCTGAAGGGAGGGGTATGCTGGTAAATGTTTAACAAGTAGCTCTCCGAAAAAAATATACAAATGATACACTTTTAAGTTTAATCCGCATTACTGATATTTTTCTCCATGACTTTCTTAAAACTAGACAATCAACAAAACAGTAAGTGAAGTCCTGATTTGTAATGATTGCCAATTAATTGGATGGCTCTCTCAGGCCTGTCTAAGCTGGCTCCAGCATACCCCTGGTTTTAGGTTCCTTCCTCTTCCCACTATCTGATCAAGAACTCTTAGAGACCCCCCCCCCCCCCCGCCCCATCACTCTTTAGTGGTAGGATTTCAGGCATTATAGCAGGCAGGTAGTGATATTCTGTTGGTCTCTTATTCTACCCACTTGTAGAACTACCTCCGCTGCCTCTAAGGTCCTCGGCCCAGGGCTGGGGCATTTACACGTGAGCTAAGACACTAAGGAGCCTCACTACCATCCTGTGAAGAATCTTACCTCCAAGGAGCCTAAGTATGGGGCAGACCCAGAATTAGACACTAAGTCTAAGCTCAGTGCTTTTCCCACTGAACCAGCTGACCACTAGCATCATTACTAACTCCAGCCCAACTCCAGTCCCTCTCCTCACCCCATGTAGGTGTCTTTTAGTTAACAAACATTTATTAAAAGTGCCTCCTCTAGGTAAGGGACTTGAGCTTTCTCAGTTCGTATGGATCTGTGCTTTGGTCAAACTCTTTCCAGAATGTTTATTTTTAATTTGCTATTGTGTATGATTTGACAGGGACAATGTGAGAGTCAGATAGGAATCTGTGTGGACCTCTGAAATTAAAAAAAATACTGTAGTCATTAACACAGGACGTACAATACCCTTTGGGTACACGAAAAGGAAATTAGATTTAGAAATAACGATGGTTCCAGCATCCTACATTGTCTCTGCTTTCCTCACTACTGAAGAAACTCAGGATCCTGTCAAGGAAGCCATTCAGGTATTGAGTGTTACAAAGGCTCCCCTGTTCCTGCCTACTCAGCCCTGAGCCTCCTCCTCTTCTTCTCCACCTAGATCAGGTGGGGAACTCGTGGCCTTGAGGTCACATGTGGCCTTCTAGGTCCTCAGGTACGGCCTTTTGACTGAGTCCAAGTTATTCAGAACAAATCCTTTTATTGAGGATATTTATTCTGTGAGGTTTGGATTCAGTCAAAGGGCCGCACTTGAGGACCTGGAGGGCCACATGAGGCCTTGAGGCTGCAGGTTCCCCACCCCTGATCCTAGGATCCCTACCACCTAGATCTGAAGGTGAACTGCTCAGCAGCTCTGAGATGTCCAGAGAGCTGCAGGGGAGATTCTTGTTTTCACAGTACTTTGGCCCCTCCCAGAGTAGACCAGGATGGGAGCCACGGCCCAGGGGTGGAGGTGGGATAGCCAGGTGTGCGGGGGTTGGGGAGCAGTCTGTGCCTCCCATGCCAGCTAAGTCTAAGTAGGAGAGCATCTGGAGGCAGGGGTGTTTGGGATCAGGGTAGGACCCCAGGGGCTCCAGCTGTTGTGGGGTTCTGCTTGGCTTGACTGCTTGTCAGGTGGCTTGCAGTGGAGACTCTTTGGGAGGCATAGCATAGACTAGATAGCCTTTGCAACTTTGAAATTTGGTGACTCCCCAACACACATCACTTCTGTTGTCCCTCTAAGGAAAGACAAGGGCTAAGCCACCTGTCCCCTAACTCCCACCCTATGTCACTGTGGGATGTCTAGAGCAGCACTGCCCCCTCCTGGCCACCCTTCAGAAGACAGGTAAATATAATGGGACTCGATACAATGGGCCAATCTATGGTATGGAAGCTGATGACTGCCTCCAATATACTGGAATCTCTGTAAATGAAGAGGAATCCCTTTGAAGTTAGTCTCCTCCCCTAGTCTGCAGACAGCCCTGTTGGACTGAGGGTTGGGAGGGCATGGGAGGGTTCTTCCGCCTTCAGACCGTAGGGGTCTAATCCATTGCTTTCATGCCTCTCTATGCTTATATGTCAAGAAGCATTTATTGAGCACCAGGCATGCTGCTAAGCACTGGCATCACAAAGGTAAAAAGCAGTCTCTGCCCTCGAGTCCAATGAGAGAGACGTGTAAATGACCATGTGCAAACTGGACGAGTACAGCAGTTAGGAGATAAACCTTAGAGAGAAGGCACGAGCATTAAGGGAGGTTAGTTAGCCTTTACTGGCTGTGAAGCGGAGACCTGGAGGAAGCCAGGACACAGAGATGAAGAAGAGAATTCCAGGCAAGGGGCACAACCAATGAAAATGCCCACTTGGGAGATGGCGCGCATTTGTAAAGCTCGGCTTCGTGGGTGGTTGTCTCTACAATCTGAGGCCTGGAAAGCGCCTTTCCCAAGGTCTCAGAGGTAGCAAGTGGTAAGGCAAGGATTCGAATCCAAGCATTTCCTAATCCCTCTTCCACATGAAGTCCCTCAAATACAAGGCAGTTAGTTCGGTGCCTCCCACCGGAGAAAGATTGGAGGCAGAGGAGTGAACATGTAGAGGGATGGGGGGAGCCTGGGAAAGCTCTTAAAGCCTTGGGGGGATGTCTGTCTGGAGTTCTCTCTCCATTTGGAAGTATTCTACCTGACTGGAACAGTCAAGCTGATCCTGCCGTTGGAGTCTCTCCCCAGAAGTTACGGCCTTTGGGCGTCTGAAGATTTGACGAGGCCTCAGCCTAATGGGCAGGCAGGGGGGCAGTACCAACCACCAGGCAGTGAAGGGAACAGGCAGCAGGAGGAGGGAAGGGTAAAGGCCCAGTGGTGGGCGTCACTGAGGCTCCAAACAGAAGCCGGCCTGGGGAGACTGACGGAGGATTCAGTCTGCGCCACCCCAGCCACCAAAGGAGGAATCACTCTCCTCGCTCTGTACCATTCATCAGCTATGTCCACAGCTAGCAAGAAAAGGCAGTTCATCTTTTTGAATGTAGGTTTCCTGTCTCATCTAGACTGAGTTCCTCCCTGGAGGCCAAACACTGCATCTTTTATCTCCCTCCCAAGCCCGGGGCCAGGCTCATAAGAAGTCTTCAATAAAAGCCTTGGCACTTAGGTACTCCTGGAACAACTGGCAAGTACATCTGAAAGGTTTATTCGGGATGGAGGAGAGTTTAATATTCAGTAATCCAATATATGTGGGGTGCTCCAGTGCCTTGTACTAGAGAGTCAAGATTAGACTTTATACTAGAGTTGCCACATTTTAATTCAGCTGAGACAAATTCGTGACAAAGCTCCCTTGGGGAAACTGGGATGTTACCAAATATTCAGGCCTTAAGTCCCTATCTCTTTATCAAAGATAACTGATATTCTAAAAGTCCCCAAAGGGCTTCATCTTTAATGGTAAAATTGGAGGCATTCTGATAGGCAGGTGGTCAAGGCAGTTTTGGGGAACAGAGGGTGTCACCTATTTTACCCAGTTGTAAGGCAAGCTCTGATGCCAGCAGAGACCTGCCCTAGGGCCAGGGGTTGTGGGCACAACTGCTATGGCATGCATCAGGGCTATGCTTGAGGTCCTGTGGTTCTCCAGCAACCTAGGACCTTTTAACCACTGCCCCTCCCTCCCCCTAGAGATCACCTGGAGTTCTAGAAGAAAGACTGTTAGGAAAGGAGAGCTATATGCAAGACCTATTAGAGACTTTGAGAAGAAGAGTCCCTTTTCCTCAGGGGTTACAGGCAAGACTGGCTGGTTTTAGACCACGGCCAGTAATAGGGGGTTGTTCAAAGACTGGGTAGGGGATTGCTAAAGTTCAGGGGAAGATTCATTCTGAGCCACCAAAGTGCTCACATGCAAGTATTGTTAAATACTTTCCTGGGGTTAGAGGAGAAACAGTAGAACTGCTGTCCGGATTGGAGCTACTAGGGTGGATTAGCGAGTCAGTCACAATTACAGGCCCACAAAAGTAATTTGTCACAAAATCCTTTAATGTACACGAATCACAGCATGACCTCCACCCCCTTCCCCACCAGGGGGCCCTTAGGGATGCACATAGAGGTTTGCTCACCACTTAGGTTAAGCTAGAGAACCAGCCTGGCATGACCCAAGTTCCCTGGGTGATCAAAATATCTAGGGTGAGTTCAAGGATGACCTTGCTCCATTCAGTGGTGGAAAGAGTCATGCTCACAGTAGCCTACATAGAGAGGCTGGGCCCGGACACCTCGTCTGTAAGAAGACAAAAAGGAGAAACTGGGTCACTTGGGACAGAGGTGACAGAGAGGACTAGTCACGAGGAAGAACAATGCATAGAAAAGATGCTTGAGATTTGCATCATTTTAGCTTCCCTTTCTCATCAACTTTCTCCAGAATAAGCATTGAACCCAACGATTGTAAACATCTCATCCTATGCCCTTGAAAACCTTCTGCTGAAGGAAAGGAAGGGGAGTAAGGAAGGGCCCTGGAGAACTCAACCAGCTGGATATTTCATCAGCGTCTAAGGGCATGTTTTGGTACTGAGCCATTGTCTATGTGCAATAGACTGGGGATACAAATCTAAAACAGTCCCTGTCCTCAAGAACTTCTACTGTTGGCTACAACACGTACACAAAGAAGGTAAAAACAAGATAATTTTAGGAGTGATCGAGCACTCCTTGATGTATGGGGGGGATGGCACCAGGGAAGAGTGCCCAGAGGACCGAGCACTTAAGCTGAGCATGGAAAGAACCTGAAGATCCTTCGAGCTCCAGATTAGGAGGGACGGCATTCCAGGCATGGGAAGTGTGAAGACATTGTGATCACAGCAAGGGCTTTAGGATGGGAGGTGATGGTGGTTATGCCACGGACAACCTCCAGCCAGCTTGCTGGAGTCATCACAGATATCTCTGGGCAACTAAGTGTCAGCTTTGAGCAGGAAGGTACTAGAACCAACCAAAGTCAGGGTCCACAGATTCATAATGACTTGGTGATCTAAAAGCTCAGGGCCTCAGTTTCAGATACATAAGACTCAATAATTGTAAAGCCAAAAGACCTTAAAGATCATCTAGTCTAAGCACCTTGTTTCTTTTGATGGGAAACTGAGGCTCAGGGACAAGTTATGTGTTCAAAATCACAGTGGCTGGACTGGAAACCTGATCTTACTCCTGACCTAGTGGGCTTTCTACAATGATCAATCATCTGCCTGGCCAGGTGTACAATCAATCTGGGAACAACCAAATCATGGGAGACTAACTCTTAGCTTCAGGGAATCTCCTTCCTTCTGCAAAAAATTCTTGAAAACAAACTAATTTAAGACTGTTTGAAGAGAGAGGCTGTGAATAGGTTACAAAAAGTCTCTTAGGAGTTTTGGTATGATTCCCAATCCACATCACTGGACTGAAGCTAAAGCAAAAAGGAGAATTTACGAGCACCATATTCCCAATCCCCCCAATAATTTGGCTTGGTTAAAGCGAGAGACAAAGGTGCAGGTGACAATTCCCGACCCTCCTACCTGAGCAGCTCACACCGGAAGTATGCCAGTCGGTCGTATGCCAAAGTCACATCTTGCACTGACTGGCTGCTCCAAAGCCTCTCTGCCACAGCTCCTGCCCTGGGCCTGGAAGGGGACACAGATCCACTCCCTGGTCAGACTTCTCAATTGGGCTTTGAGGACACATTGTGCACACGACGGGAGCAGGAATGGGGTAAGCTGATGTGCCCAGGATAGTACCAGGGATGAGAGTCTTATGGCTGAACCACTACCGTACTGTGACCTAGAATCGGTTATTTCATCTCTCTAACAATCCTGCACTCTCCGCCTGAAGGATGAAAGAAGACAAATGTGGAAAAGGTCTTGGGAGAAATGGTGTATGAGGGGTTTGGAGGATCCCTCGCTATACGGATGTGGAAGCTGAGATGAAGGAATGTTAGGGGAGCTGCCCAAGATCAGACAGTCAAAGGTGGGATCTGAGTCCAGGTCTCCAGATTCTAGAGCCTGTGAGCTTTCTCCTACATCATGTTCCCCTCTTGGGGTCATGGGGTGCGGGGTGGAGGTGGTGGGACAGAAATGCAGCTCTGGGGCTCCTAAGCATCCAGAGCAGCAGCTGCAGCAGGAGCAGGGAGTCGAGCACAGGCTACCTGGGTGTGAGATATGACTGGGAGTGCCTGGGAAAAGCAAAGGGTAGTGAACACCTGGGGCCTGCCTGAGGCCAGAGGCTGGAGGTCTGGTGCTGCCACTGATGGACCCTGGGCAAATGAGATGCACTATCTGTCTTACCTGCCAGCCCAGGATGTTAAGATAAGACAAGACACAACAGGTTATACAAACTGAAGGGATTTTGAAGCTAACACTTGTTCTGACCAATAGTCCGGAAGATGAGAGGAGGAGGAAAAAAATATCTGGAGGGCATCAGAAGTCTGGGTCAGCCTAGGCATGTTGGAAGTGATCACACCCCTTCTACTGCACTGACCCCAGTGAACGCCTTGTTTCCCAGCTGCTCTTTACTGACTCTCCACCATTCCCGTCCCCTTCTCCAGCCCGTTCTGCTTCCTCCCCTCGTTGCTTACCAGAGTCTGGGGGTCAGATTTGTCACATCCACATATTCGCCCCACATGCAGGCTTCACCCCCGATCACCAGAGACTTCTGCTCAGGGCTGCCTGAAGGAACACAAACTCTCAACATGAAGGCAACACCAGGGACCCAGAACAAGTCCATCAGGAGAAAGTGTTATTCAACAAAAGATTTATTTGTGGGCAGCTTCAAGAAATGTGGAAGATTTTTATTTCCCAAACCCCCTTCAAGACCAAACTCTCTGGCTTCCCATTCTCCAAATTTACTCTGTAAGAGATTCCAGGGACTTCCTCAGGGAAGGAGTGGCCTATATCCTCCCTTCCACACCCTTGCACCTTCAAAGTTCAGGGGCTCCACTTTGTAGGCTTGCTGCCAATCTTGCCCATAGGAGATGTGGTTCAGGTACCAGGGAGCAGACAACAAGACATGGTACCCTGCCTTGGTGACTTCATGCATTTCCTTGGTATAAGGTAAAGTTTCCAATTCTCTCCAGACATGCACCACTGTGTCTGGGCTCAGCTAGTTACAAGAAACAAAAAAGAGACATGCTGGGGAGTAATGTTACCTACTACTTAGGGGACAGAACCTAGCACTTTTCACAAGAACTCACAGCTTCATACAGGCCAAAACACAAACCCTCCCAAAAGAACCAAAACCTATTCAACATCCTTAATGTCCCTACCTCTACCCCTCACTGCAAAACCATGACCCTAAGAAGGGATCGTGGTAGAGAGTCTCTAAAGATCCAACGTCCCCTAGGTGCCCAATGGCTACGTTTGCTATATCTCAGCAAAGGCTGCTGGATGTCAGAGAGGGCACAGCATCTCTTTTCCAAATCTCAGACCTCAGACGGGATAGCTGTGATACCCCTCCTCATCCTACCTGTGCTAATCTCCTCCCAGTGCTGAGGGGCCCTGGTGTACTAGCCTGGGGTTGGAGGATGGAGGCAGGAAGACACTGGACTCTGAACCACATCTTTTTGTCCCTCCTTCTGTCTAGAGAGGGAGATTTTTCTAACCCCACATCAAAACTTTGGTGGGGATGTGTGGAGAAAGGACAGTTGGGGGTCAAAGGAGCAAAGCTAAGTCCCAAAGGGCCAGGCCAATTGCACCCTACTGGGAATAGGCCAAAGGGTGTGGGTGGTGGGAGACCCCCACCACAGAGCAGCTCAATGCCCAAGTGTCTCCAAATGCTCCTGGAGATCGGTGGCCATCTCACTGAGGTACAGGGAGCAGAGACTTTAGCCAGCCCTTCATTCTGAGCACAATATATGAATAATAATAACAACAACAACAATAGTAGTAGTAGCTCACATTTATATAGTGCTTTAAATATGCTATCTCATTTGATATTCACAAGAACCCTGTGATGTATGTGCTATTATTATCACCCCAATTTTACTGATGAGAAAACTGAAGCTGAATGGTTAAGTGACTTGCCCAGATTCTTACAGCTAGAAGTGTCTGAGGCTGGATTTGAATTCAGGTCTGCCTGAGTCCAAGTCCAGGGCTCTATTCACTGCATCACTTGGTTGTCTCTGAAGACACAGGAAACCTTAGTCCCAGATACAACAGCCAAAGCCCAGCAGCTCTGAGAGGCTCTGTAAGGACAGAAAGTCCTTGAAGTTGGGAGGGAATAGATGGACAGGGAGGCAGAAATACTGTTCCCACCTCTCTGAAATCCAAGGTTTAGGTCAAATGGGATCTCACCTCTGGAAATATCCTAGGAGAAAATAAAGCTGGGAGGACTCCTTCATGGGAAGGGGTTCTAGGTCTTCTCTTTAGTCCATTAAAAATGAAACCCAGGACATCTGGGGAAAATCATCACTACTTTGCCTCCTCTCTTCAGAGCCTCTGGGGCCCCAAGTGATACTGGGAGCAGCAAGGGGCATGGAGGACTGGAAAAATGGACCCATTAACACCTGTCCAAGGTCCCATAGGATCAAGACAGCAAACCCCTTGGTCCCTTCTTTCTCCTCCATCTCTTACCTTCACATCATTGTCAAACACCTCCTGCCACACTATGTAGCCCTTTTTATAGGAAGATACAATGTTCAGTAGCCTGAGGAAGAAAGAAATCAACAAAACCAACTTGATGCGTCAACAAGTGAAGAACAGGCCAAAGTTCTTCTGGGGATGGCTGGAGCTCCCCCTGATGCCCAGCAGAGGACACCTGGGATTTCACTTTTGGGCATATGGAGGAAGAGGAACGCCTAGGAAATCCCTTCTCTCCTTGCTCCAGGGTAGGCCATCAAAATTCGGCCAATAATGAGCTGGGAAGAGGACGTGAGAGAACAGCTTGGAAAGACGGCAGTAGGCAGAGCCTGGGAGAATTGTTTTAGTGGGTGGGGGAGTGCTCAGGGTGGCAAGACTTTTCACTTTCACATGTGAAGACTGGAGGGTAGAGGGAGCCTGGAAGACACAGTTTATAGTAGGAGACAGGAGATTTGAAAGTCAAGACCAGGGTTTAGGAGGGCCCCAGATTATTCTCCCCTGCGCCCATACTCCAACTTCAGGAAGAGGTAAATACACCCCGATCCTTACTTTTGAATGTAGAAAGATTCCAGTTTCTCATAGCGGTCAAAGCCCTTTTCCTTCATGAAGGCCTGGATACCCGGATTGGATCGCCTGCAAGAAAGGAAACCAATTTCTCCTACTTCTTGTATTTCCAGGACCCCAGAACCCTGGGGAGATGGGGCATAGTCACCTAGTTTCCTGCTACTTCTCTCCCCAGCCTGAAAGAGAACCAAAAGGCAGCCCCTGGTCCTGGACGGCAGAGTGCAGGAGAGCTATGCCGTGGTCTTGCCCGATGCTTTTGGTCGACCTTTTCGAGCATGGCATTGAAGGTCTTCTACGATACGGCTTCAGCCAGCTTTCCCAGCTTTCCCTGGCTTCCCCAAGGGAGGATCAGATGTTGTGAGTGCCTGAAGTGACCTCGGAGACTGTCTAATCCAACTCCCTCTTTTACAGATGAAGCAGCTAAAGCCCAACGAGATGGTGACTTGCCCAAAGTTACACGAGTGTTACACAGCTGAGCTTAGATTCAGACCCAGGCCTTCAGACTCCGAATCCAATGCTGCTCCTCGATAAACCTTACGTTGTTCCCGGCACACCCTATGTTCATGCCTTCGTCTACTTCTTTTTTCAGGGTTCCTTGTGCCACCACTCTCCAAATTCAACTTTTCCTGCAAGGCCCCACATAAGACTTCTTCCACACTGACTGTGCTCGCCTGCCCAACTACCTCTCTCCTTTCTTTGCTCTCTTAAAGCCAATAGTTTATATCCTATTTCATTGCTCTTAAATACACAAGGGCTTGTATCATCTGGTGATACAAGTGGTGTATCAATTTGGTGCTGTTAGATCTTTTATCTCAACTAGAATAATATCAAATCGTCCCCCTCCCCCCTTTTTGGTCAGCAAAGAGTTAAGAACACAGGAGAAGCTCGGTTAATATTTTGATTGTTCCCTCTGGTCTCTGAGATTTGTGGAGGGGAGAGAGGAACTGAAGCAAAGGGAAGCTAGAGTGAAAAGTGTGTACTGGATTGGGGAGGGATATAAGGCTAAGTGAGGAGTCTAGGCAGGGAGAATAAAGTGCCGCAGGGGTGGGAAGAGAAGAAAAGCTGTGAAGTTATTAATCCTCCTTTCCTTTTGTATGGGCTCTAACAGGATTGGAGAACTTGGTTCTGAGTGGTCAAGAAATTCCAACATCTCAACTCTCCTATTTCCTCCTTTCCTACCCTCAATCTCCAAGTGATACTGGAGAGGAACACAAGGCCCTCTCTAAATATCTCCCCCCAGCCAAGAGCTCAAGATACCGCTGTTCCTTGACTCTGACTTATTAAATCAAGAGGAGGATGGGGATGACCTGAGGGCTCATACCAACAGGTGAAATCAACCTCATCTCCTCCAAGGTGAAGGTAGAAGTCTGGGAAAACTGAGCTGATCTCTTGGAAGAATGAAGTCATGAACTCATAGGTCGTGTTGAGGATGGGATTCACTGGGCCATAACTTCCAGAAGGAGTGGCCCCTGAGTAGCAAGGCGTCAGCAATCCAGGAATACCTAGGCCAGGAGAGATGCATACACAGTCACACTGTCCCACAGAGACACCAGCCTTAGCCTGAGATTAGCTCTACCGATCAATTATTTGGGGGCTGTACTGTAATAGCTTATTTCTACCTGACACAGGAAATCAGAACACTCCACCTTTTTAGAACTTAAACTGATGGAGCACTGATCTCACTTACTGCAGCCTTCTAAATAAGATGTCTGTAAAGTGCTTAGCTTAGTGCCTGGCACATAGTAGGTGCTTAATCAATACTTATTCCTTCCTAAGAGATTCATATCTACTGGGCTCTTAGAAAAGAGTTTTAGGATACAGTCTCCCCTCCATAACTCCTCTTCTGAGGACATATGGCACTTTGCTTCTTTAATTATGCAGGGGACCAAAGCTTGAATTGAGTGAGGAAACTTAAGGGGGCTTTACTAGCAACATCAAGAGATTCATTGACTCTAACCTAATAAATTTCAAATTTCTTCCCTATCCCACATCCTTTTACACTTCCAATTTTCCAAATGGGAAAAATCATCAGGAAAAGAAGAAAAACTGGAGTGTGGCACGTTTCTGCTTATGAGTTATATACTAAAAACACACTGCCAAAGGCAAGAATTGAAAAGAAGATACTTGGCTTCCTTCTGACTTTCCCTCCTCCCCATTCTTACCTTTTCCCCAAGACAAAGTGTGCCCTGGTGTGTCAAACTCTGGTATGACTCTGATGCCTCGCAATCGGGCATATTCAATGACTGCCTTTACATCTCCAGTTGTATAGATGTGGGTGGCAGGGTTGTAGGATCCCTGAAAGACATAAACAGCCCCTTATTATACTCTCACTAGAGGCAGATGAACTCCCAGGGCTCAGCACATGGGCTCACCCTACCTTCACTGTAACTGCGGGAGCAGCAGAAGTTGGACAGGCTGAAGGAATCTTTCCCAAGCTTTGTACTTAGACAAGAGGGTCAGATGGACACAAGGGTAGAGCGACTGATCAGTGACAAAAATCAATTAAAACAATACCTCACATCCTTACAGTCCCTAATCTTCTTCTTAATTTATTTATTTTTAGTTTTCAACATTCATTTTCATAAGATTTTGAGTTCCAAATTTTTTCCCCATCTCGTCCCTCCCCCCACCCCAAGACGGCATGCGCTCTGAATACCTCTTCCCTTAATCTGCCCTCTCTCCTATCTCCCCCCTTCTCTTATCCCCTTCCCCTTCTATTTTCCTATAGGGCAGGATAGATTTCTATACCCCATTGCCTGTATATCTTATTACCCAGTTGCATGTGAAAACAATTTTTAACATTTGTTTCTAAAACTTTGGGTTCCAAATTTTCTCCCTTCCTCCCTCCCTATCCACCTCCCTCCCCACCCACCCTCATTGAGAAGGCAAGCAACTCGATATGGGTTATACATGTGTAGTCATGCAAAACACTTCCATTGTACTCACGCTGTGAAAAACTAACTATATTTCCCCTTCATCCTATCCTGCCCCCCGTTTATTCTATTCTCTCGTTTGACCTTGTTCTTCCTCAGAAGTGTTTGCTTCTGATTATTCCCTCCCCAAATCTGCCCTCCCCTCTATCATTCCCCCTGCTCTTATCTCCTTCCCCCCTATTTTCCTATAGGGTAAGATAGATTTCCATTCACAATTAAGTGTGTATGTTATTTCCTCCTTAAGCCAAATCTGATGAGAATAAGATTCACTCATTCCCTTTTACCTTCCCCCACTTCCCCTCCATTGTAAAAGCCTTTTCTTGTATGTTTTATGTGAGATAATTTACCCCATTCTACCCTTTCTCCTTCTCCCAGTATAATCCTCTCTCACCTCTTAATTTTATTCTCCAGATATCACCCCTTCATCTTACAACTCACCCTCTGCCCTCTATCTATCTGTCTGTCTGTCTGTCTGTCTGTCTGTCTATCTATCTACTTTTTTTCCCTCTCCAACTACCCTAATACTGCCAAAGGTCTCATGAGTTACAAGTTTTTTTTTTGGCAAGGCAACTGGAATTAAGTGACTTGCCCAGAGTCACACAGCTAGTAAGTGTTATGTGTCTGAGGCCGGATTTGAACTCAGGTCCTCTTGTCTCCAAGGCTAGTATGCTATTCACTGCATCACCTCGCTGCCTCTTCCTGATCTTTTTCAAAGTGTTTTTCACATACCATTTAACAAATAAGGAAACTGAGGATGAGAAAGTTGAAATGTCACCCAAAGACACAGTGAGGACTTGAAGGTTCAGTTCAGTCCTTCTTCCACTACCCAAAGCTACAAGTGGCTAATACTTGGCTCCTGTTCCCACAATTAGGGCCCTGCAAAGGAGCCTGGTGACCCCGACCCACAAGTACAGAAGGACCAGGATAAAACATACCTTTCTGCTAAGCTCAGGGAAAGTCATACTCTCATATGGAAAAGAAGGATCATCGACTATGTGCCAGTGGAACACGTTGAATTTGTTATATGCCATGACATCCTGGGGGCAGAACATATATAAAACTTACCACCCTACCAATGCTGAGACTCAGACACACAAACACCCCAAGATAACTGAGGATGTAGAGAAGCATTAGAAAACAGCATCCTGCTGCTCAGTCCCAGTACTTCAAATGCCCATCCTGAGTCTGTTTTGCTTTGGACACAACTCCCTGCCCCTCTTGCTGGGGTGTGTTTCTCTGGCTCTCTCTCTTACGGCCAAAGCATGTGACTTTATGGTTTTGTAACACTGAATGAAAAAGAGACTTGGAAAGAGCCAGCTTGGCCCAAGTGGGGCCATGAAAACTCAAGCAAAGACCAGGGACTACCACCTTTGTGTTCTTGTACCCAAGAGGAGAGCCAACACCAAAGCCAGGTGAGGTGTGATAGGACTTCATATATATCAGGAGCCAAAGAATAGAGGTAGAACTCCCGAGGTTCCATCTAAGCATAGTTATGGAGAAGGCAGAAGGAGAAGAAGAAGAAGGAGGCCTGGAGAGATCAAGTAAGACCTTCAGGTGAACCTCAGGACAGTCGAAGGTCAGTCAAGCAGATGCTTCTAATTGTCAGGACCAGAGTCTTTAGTTCTGACTGATTAAGGAATCCCAATGTTGACTCCTTCTCCCCACTGATCTGGGCATTGACCTAGTAGTCACCAAAGTTTGAATTCTGTCCTTCCTTTCCTCTGGAGTTTTCCAAGTAGGTCACCTCTCTGGGACTAGTGAAGAATCATAAAATCAAATGTTTCAGGAAGGGATTTTAAAGCCTGCCACGCTAACTCCTTGGGATCCCAATATGGGGAAATACAATTCATACCAGTGTCTCCTGGATGGCTTGCAGTGGCAAGTAATGACGAGATGTGTCCAACAGTAAGCCTCGGTGAGGGAATCGGGGAAAGTCTACAATTTCTGTCCGCTTGACACAGAACTGAGCAGAACAAACATGGAAGGTGTCAATGATACTCATTCCCCACTCCCAAAGTCTATGAACAGTCCCTAAGAAGAGACCTGGGGGCTAAGAAGAACTTTGCCAGTGGTGGCCAAATATACCCTTTTGGACAAGAGCATATCCCTGATCTTCCTGGCCTTCCCATGGTCCTTTCTGGTTTACTCTGTGGTGCTTTCTTGTTCCACTACTTAATATAGTGCTTGGCATATAGTAAGAGCTTAATAAACGTTTATTGGCTAACTATCTCATAATTACCAACATGTGAAGCTGTCCTTGGATGTATCCTAGGGGCCCAGAACCTAGGCCCAGCACTGTCTTCTAGGAACAGTCACTATAAAGCCACACTCTACACTCAAAGGCCACACCAAAGCAAGCTGACCACTAAGTTATAGGTTTTCCCTCTAGTTTTTAAAAAACATTATTTAAAATTTATTTTTTCAATTACATGTAAACAACTTTTTAACATTAAAAAAATCTGAGTTCCAAATTCTCTCCCTCCTTCTCCCCACTCCTTGAGAAGGCAAGCAATTTGATATAGGTTATACATGTGCAGTCACACAAAACATCTCTCTAGTTTTTTATTTCTATTTGAATGCTTTTACTTTTATTTTCTTTTAGCTGATGTGACTTATTATGCCCTAGGGAGCAGGTAAATTCTAGTTATCTCAGGCAACCTCATTCTGTCAAACAAGGACATTTCACCACAATCCAACTACATTCCCAACCTTTGCACTTCCTCCCAAATCCTATCTCGCTGGGAATGCCTCATACCACCCCTGACACCCAGAAAGAACTTATGATAGAAACAAGGCATTACATTGTGTAATTCCTTCAGTCACTTGGACACACACTCACCATACCCTCAGCAGATCTCCAAATGAGCTGACTAAAAGTCTCCAGGCCTGTGGAGAACCAGAGGGGCAGGGTGAGGGCTGGAGGAAGTGAGGGAAGAAACTGCCCCAACCTAGAACGGTGCCCAGTGTTGCAGGGTATGATGCTTAGGCAAGGAAAGAGAGGCTCATAAGGTCAATGCTCAATTTTCCTTGAAAATTCAGGGAGACAAGATAGTCCAACAAGCATTTCTAATGTATTTGGGGATATTTAGCTGATCCATAGTGAGATAAATGAGAGAAGTTGACTGAAACAAGTGACATCGACCTCTTCATTTTGTTCATTTTTTCTTTGTCAGACACCATGTGTCATTGAATGTTTGTGTGGGGTGGACAGGACATTGGCAAAGTCTCTAACGAGCCCTAGCTCTGCCTGGGGCCTCTTCCTTTGGGAGACCTGACATGCAGCTAAGGAGGTGGGAGGCCTGGTGTTATTTTCCTTAGGCTGCAAGGCTGGCCACCTTAGAAAGCTTTGTATTGTCTGGGATCTCTTCAAGTTGTCAGATTTGAGCTTTTAGTGAAGAAGAGGGCAGCTAAGGGGAAGAAGACAGATAAAAACTGCCTCTTTGGGGAATTAAAACCATGGACTTCTTCGAATTAAAATGGGCCTTAGATCCTACAGCAACTTAACAGCTCTCCAGCCCCTAGGATACTTTAGAGTTTAATACATAACTAGACTGTAATCACTAGGGACTATGTGTTCTTCACTTCTCTCTCTCTCCTATAGTGTCCAGTGTAGGATCTTGTATCTAAATAGGAAAGTGACAAATAAATACATGTTGAATGGATTTGAGTTAAGATCACTCTGGAATGCTAGAGATATCAAAAGTTTTGTTTTTCACTATATTTCTTTTTCTTTTCAAAATAACTAAAAAACAATTGTTTGTTTCTAACCCAGCTGTTCAAAAGAGGAGTCATGTCAGGGACAGGGAATATAGCACCTCTCCCCACACTATTCTCCCTCTGCATCTATCCTGATGTTGAACAAGGCCCAGCTTCTCCAAGCCCGTGTGAGGCAAGGCCTCAGGAGGCTGCTGGCTTTATTTCCCAGTACCCTGGGAAAGCAGTGGATTCAGCATCACCAGACTAGCTCTGTGCTTACAGACCATCGTAGCCACAGCTGAGTCCCTTTACTCTTTCTTAACCTCAGTTTCCTAATCTATAAATAGGAGGTAACAATGCTGGCACTGCGGAACTTTAAGTGTTATGGAAACTTCGTAGCATACTAGCTCATATAAATGGGAACTGCTAGTTTTTATTATCTTACCATTACTAAGCTCCCTCCACCCAAACAATCTTCAGTTGTTCTCATGAGAGGCTTTTCTAGAAGAGAAACTGCTACTGGGGTGTCTGAATTTTGTATACAGAGGGACACATCTCACAGAGAAGAAACCTGTGAATAGTTTATTCGGTCCCCCTTGGAGAGCTGGCTTATTTGCTTTACTCCTAAGAGGGCTTAATTTCCAATCCTTCCAACCACCAGACTTAGCAGCCAGGTACAGAGAATCCCCACTAGAACAAATCAATGAAAAATCAAGGTCACCCAACCCCTTTTCCTCTCATCCTCATGTGAGCCCCTGTACCATTACCTCTGAGAGCTCCCCAGACAGTATCAGCTTTCAGGATGAAATGGTCATCGCTGAGGGTCAGGGTGTCTGAAATGATAAGAAAAAAGCCTGCCAGGTTAGGCTTGGAAAAACTAAACTTTGCATCCCAGTCTCAAATGAAAATAAACCCAAACCATTTTTGTTTTTCAAAGGTGAAGCTTCTAGCTCTGGCAGCTATGGAGCAGCAGCTTGGCTTCTGGGGGTTCTTGCTGGGGAAAGTAGGATCATGGCATTTGGAAAACTGAAACAACGTGGCCTCACAGGAATGGGCCAGAGAAATATTTAGCCACTGCTTCTAAGTATCTGCCACAGTAGTCACAGAGAACCTCAGATGAGTAGGTGATGGGTGTGTGTGTACTATAATTTTCTTTGTTGTCTTTGACAGGTTCTGATGCTTAATAATGTCTTGGTTTCCTTTTTGGGGACAGGAATTCCTGCTAAACCTCATCATGGAATATAAAATGGCTTGGTGCTATAATGGATGAGAAAGATTCAGGATGCACTACCATGCCACCCTTCCTGCTCCAAACCTCTCCAATTCACTACTCCCCATTCATTGGTTAAAGAGAGATCAGATCTTTTTGTTTAATTTAGAGACTGAAAACACTGCTAAGGCTCAGAGGCATTCTGTGGATTTTGCCATTACTTACAAGAAGACATTCCATTTGGGTGAGCCTGAAACTCTCTGCTACAGTTCTTCTATATGGGAAGACTCTAAGCTTAAACCTCACATAACATCAAAGTCCACCTACCTTTGGTTCCTTGGCATTTAAGGCAATAAGGATGTGGCATGAGCCTTTAAGGACCGTAAGGATATACTCTGTATACCTGACCCCCCTGCTGTGGCACCTCTGGTGCCTTGACAGCTTCCTGGGGAATAGCTAATTGGCTCAATAGCTGGGAAATCCTTTAGGGGCAGGGCTGAGCTATCTGGTCTTACTGGCAGGCTTTCACAAGAAAGATATACAACCCAAGGACTGTGCTTACAGTTCTCCACAGAGTTCATTTCAGGAAACTGGTCACAACCAGGGACAGCCACAAAGACTTCCAACGAACTTTTCACTGTTTGCTTCAGTCCTGTGAAGAGAGATGAAATTCAGGAATTTCACCCACACCAACACAGTATACACAACTGGAAGGACCCTCAGAGGCCATCTAATTTAATCCCCTCATTTTTTTATAGAGGAAGAAACGGAGGCTCAGGAAGATTAAGAGACTTGCCCAGGGACACATAGTTAAGTAAGGGTCTCGTGTTCCTCCCGTAAAAGGGCCTAGTCTTAGACCATGCATCTTTTTCACCGATCAGCTAGATAAACTTACTCTTTTTATTTTGTTACTTGTATATCCGCTACACATACTCAGATTATTCATTAAGTGTTTTGTGGACTTTAAACTACTTAAACAAATGTCAGTTATGATGATGTTATTCCACATGTGTATTCTGGACAGAAGCTTGTCTATAGCAAGGGTCATATCTGTTTTGTTTTGCCATGTCTAGTGACCAGCTCAGGATGCCAGGACTCCAAATATACTGTTGGCCAGCATCTGGGAAGACCACAGGATTGTGGACCTAGAATTTGGGGGGACCTCAGAGTCCATCTGGTTCAATCTCATTTTATAGATGAGGAAACTGTGGCCCAGGGAGGGTGTGACATAGGATTCTAACCTAGGCCTTCTGATTCAAGAGCTAGTATTCCTCCCACTGGACCACACTGCCTCAAAGTGCTGTTCTATCCTAACATAGTTCCAGCCAAGGTGGGCTGCCTACATGTCTCCAACTTAGGCCACATAAGATCCTGATACACAGGCCACAGCTCAGAAAGTCATCGTCTGTGGTGAAAGGGAGCATGAAACTTTCAGGCTAGATGCTGGAGTCAGCTAAAGAGAAAGGAACCCTGAAGGATTGCTCCTCCATCTTCCTATCAACAATTGTCTCTCTCTCCTCGTCGTTCCCTCTTTTTCTCTTTCTTGCCCCTTGAGTCACAGATGAAAATTTATCAATCAGCTACCAAATTGTATTCTAAGACGCTGTAGTCCATCTGAATGAGGACTTTGAATTAAAATCAAAGGCAACTAGATAATCTCTTATTTTACTATCTTCCTATTTACCTAATGTTTCAACTGTCTCATCAGTGCTTTTTGTTCTGTTCTCAACTCAGCCTCCACTCCATCTTCTGTTTTCATTTTCTCATCCACTTCTCCCAAGAGTGATCCCTTCTTTGGTTCTTCTCTTTTCTCCCCAAATAGATTTTAAAAAGTCTTTTTGTTGTCTTTAGCTTTCCTCATAAGTCTTCAGTGGGTTCTAAGCTTCTGATGCTATGGTTATAGGAATGTGCCATGATTTTGTATTCATTCTTTCGCTTTTGTGTCTCTGGAAAAAATCTAAATTCATCAATGAGTTCCTTGTGCCTGCATAGTTTCTGATTTTGCCAATTTCATTTCCTCTAAATTGGAATATCACTTGGGGATTATTTCCTTTGCTAAATTTTAATCCATAGGAATCTGACCTTTCTTTTCTCTGAACTCTCTGAAACCTGTTTCCTCCAAATCTAAGATGCGTGTTAAGATTCTACTTAGAATCTCTCTTATCTATCACGAATTCTAAAATTGAATGGTGACTTCCATCATTTCCATTCCAACAACTGGTTTTTCCTTGGTAAGATCAGGTCTACGGTAGAAGTTCCCCTTTGTGCTTTCACTGCTTTTGAAGGATGAAATTATCATTAAGGCAAGTAATGAAATATCAGTTGTTCTGCTTTTGCCAGAGAGGGGACTCTAGGGGATGTTTGGATAACCAAAAGTTTTCTATCACACACTACTACATCCCACTTCCATTTCAGGCTTATGATTTGTTTCCCCGATCTCTTTAAGCACCTCTTTTTGTTGGGGGGGTGGGGTTAGGACGGTTTATCACTTCTGTTTCTGCTTTTGTTGAACTTCTCTTATATCCTTCCATCATACTTCCCTTTTCTGGTTCCTGGATTTCTTCACATGAGGTTCACAGATTTAGAGCAGCACAGGGCTTTATAAGAAAAATGACTATACCTGGCCTCAGGATGTTTAAAGTGGCAGAGGTAGAGTTGAAGAGATGTAAAAAAACAAATAATACAGGATATTTGATGCAAAAGGATTTTACTCAGAAGATGGTAGGAAAAGGATTTTGTCTGTGTTTGCCATACTCTATTTAAAAAAGGTAAACAGAGCAGCCTAATGTCACTAATTTGAAGGAACAGTAGATCTGAAGTCAGAGGCGTTGTGTTTCAATACTGTCTCTAAAGCAAAAAAGCAGACAAGTCCCAACTTTTTGGGGTTTTAATGTGTTCATCTGTAAAATGGAGTTATTTGTATTATCCATTATTGAGGTTGTTATGTGGACCAAAAAAAGAACACAATAAGGTGTTCTGTAAATGGTAAAGTGCAAAATGAATGCTAGCTATTATTGTTACTATTATTCTTCACATTTTTGTGGAACCACCTAAATAAAATAATGTTGTAGAGGATAATTAGTCCCATATCAATCATATTATAAGTGGGAGAAATGTACTTACAAAGATCAGAAAAACACAGAGAAACATACTCCACAAAGCAGGGCAAGACCACTTGGGCTTGCTAAGAGATACAGAAAGTAAAGACCTGACAAATTAATCTGTATATGGCCCCTTGGGGTCTTCAGTTAGTACACAGCTAGTGAAGAAGAATGTGGTGGAGTTCCATTCAGATGGTGGAGCAGCAGAATATAGAATGGAATAGATCAAGCCACAGTTAAGCACATATGGAATCAGTGCAAGGACAAGAAGAATGGGAAGATGAGTCAACTATCTTCCTCATGAAATGCTTCATCTCTAATTTAAGATCTAGCTAGAGATGATAGCTCAGCAGAATCTGGACACTTTCTCTAATAAAACAAAATAACTATCCTTCCTCTCCCAACTCCTATCTATTGCTAGGGCCTGAACAATCCATCTCCCCGGGGAACAGACCAATGGAAAGGCACTAAACTCAAGCACAGCATATGGAAGGCAGAGGATAAATGACTGGAGAGGGAGCCTCATTCAATTTCTAAATCACTCTACTCCTCCAAGAACTTAGAGGATATAACCAACAAGAGGAGAGAACCTTGAAGAATCCAAAAACAGAATAGCCAAGGGCCAGTGGTACCTTTGTGATCTAGAAGTGATTGGGTAGAACATTAATCAGATGCTTCCTTGTTCTAAACGTGAGTACCACTGACAAGGGAGCTGAATTAAACACTAGCCTCTTAGTGAACTATTTGTATAAGTGCTAAATATCACTTTGTATCTTTAATGTTCCTACCACAGTAGCTTTTTTTTTGTTACATGGAAGGCTTTACAATGTCTGTATTTTTTGTTTATTTTTGTCTGAACAGCTGTTTGCAAAAAATTGCCACTTCACGAAAGAAACTTTCATCTGGGATTGAGAAGAGTGGCAAACTCGTAAGGCTGAAGAATAAAGAACAAGGACAAATTAGATGGTGGGCTGGTTTCAGGGGATTGGCTAACCTACATTACAGCTATATTTATTTTTTACTTAGGGTGATGCTTGGTTATAATGTGTTGCTTTTTTTTATTATAATATCTTAATGATGTGACAGCACAAATCAAGATAACTATGCAATTACTTTAATTACCTGTATTTTAACTTGGAAATTGTTGAATTTTTTTTTTTCTTGGCTGATTCAGTTGAATTTTTGCAGAAATATATAGCTGTATCCTGAGGCCACAAGAAAACCAACATAGGAATTATATTCAAAAGTGGAATATATATTAGTGGAAACAGTCATAGCAATATAGTATATTGGAAAAAGTGCTGACCCTGCATGTGAATCTCTGCTCCTGGTACTTACTACCTTGTGACCTTGGAAAAATCTTAAGTCTCTTTGGGCTGTAATTTCCACATCTGTAAAATAAGGGATTTAGAGGAAATAATTTTCAAGGTCCCTTTGAACTCTAAAATATTCTGATTTTATGATTTTCTGGAGAAGCAGTTTGCTTCAATGTCTTGGTCATTCTTATTAAAATCAGTTTTTGTGATTCCCTGATGAACAAGTAACTCAATCTAATAAAAGAGATGGATAGTATCAGGAAGAGTTAAGAGAAGCTGGATTCTGATTTAATTTTGTGTTTCATATGTGACTATGCAGGACACAATATAGCACTTCTCCATTTTCAGTTATCTGGTAAAACTATGGAAAAGGGAAAAAGTTTTATTTAGAAGAGGTACCATCCAAATCTCAAGATTAGATAAACATTTATTTAGCGCCTTTTTTTCCTGAAATGGTACAAACAATACTAACTGGAAAACTTATCAAAATGTATCTGCTTGTATGCTATAGTTTTTTCACTAAGGACTAAAACAGAGGTTAAAGGGAAGAGAAATGCGTGTAGACTAAGCTGTTAGTTCCATAAAGGTAGAGACCCTATTTTATTTAAAGCTGATCCAGTAAGTTCTTAATGTTTGAATTTTTCATCTCAAAAAGCTAATGTTCTTTTGACCTTATTACAAAAAGTCTCTTTTGAGTCCCCCACCTTTAATTCCTCTCATCAGCACCAGACAAATTAACTGTGTATTTTATTTCTGTGATGTCACCTCTAAAGTTTTGTTTCACATTTAACCTATAGTTAAGTATTAGAAGTTGTAAAATAGCATTTTTTCTCCTGGGTAGGCTCCTAACATTGGAAATTTACCTATTCAGTATAACCACTGTTAAGGTGCAGCAGGAGTTAATTAAGAGAGTTCTGGAATTTAAATGAAAAGATCAGTTTTCTATTCCCCTTTACACTACTAACTTCTCTATCAAACTGACACCTCCTCATTCAAAGAAATGCTGTGTATGGTTGCTGGAATAATCTTCCATGAACATAATACTTAGGGAAAGTGGTGGATAGAATGGTGGATAGTTGGAGTCTGAGAGACTTGAGTTCAAATCTCGCCCCAGACACTTACTAGCTGCAGGTATACTTGAACTCTCCAACCTTCACTTTCCTCATCTGTAAAATGGGTAAAGCACCTATCCAAAGGGTTGTTATGAGGATTAAAAGAAAAAAAAAGTCTCCGTAAAGCACTTTGCAAACCTTAGAGTAGCATGTAAATATTGGCCATTATCATTATTAGTAATTTCTGCCTAACACTTATGGCCAGCCTTCACCTCACTTCTCTTACTTGGTTCCTTCGTCTTTTCCCTCTCTATTTCTCTATTATCCTACACCAGTAGCCCATACTACCCAAACCAATTTGTTGGCCATGGTTCAAACTCCTTTCTTTTTCATGCCCATTACTTCCTTGAAAAGCAGATCAAAATTCCTTTTCTCCAATTACTTTCCCTTTCTCCATTACTTAATAATTTGGCAAGATTTTGATCCCTCATTCTTGTTTGAGTAATTAGGAAATCAATTCACATCAGTCTGCATTTTCATTGCAAATGCTTTGTATTTATTTGGATACATTGTTGTGTAATAATTTTAATATCATTTTCCTATCTTTTCTTCCCAACAAGATTTTAAGTTTCTCAAAACAGAGGGGCTATGTCTTCCATTCCAAAATCCCTAGCATGGGGCTGGATATTGTAAATGTTCTGCAAGGACATTGGTGTCTTGGCCATAACACTGTTCTCAGGTTCCATGCTATGGGTAAAACCATCCCAGAGAAAATTTTTCTGGTAAAGTACTTCAGTACTTTCTTTCAGTACTGCTCTGGTAACTACATACTCCTAGATGGCTCTGTCTTATGGTCAATTCTTTTCTACAGCAAGCGGTCCCATGGAGGTTCTAGTATCATGTACCAACTTGAACTACAAATTCGGAAGTAACAAGACTAAGTGGTAGTGCGGAAAAGACCTTGTGTTTACTATTAGCTGATTACAAAATAGCATTGGACTCTTAAAAGTTCTCCAACAAGGTGTGTCCCTCATGTATATCATTAACATCACTTAAGACTCCTTGATAGGTGCAACCACTGAGATTTTCTTATGACCAACTTTAAGTAAGGAAGACAATGACACTTGACCATTAATGTAAGAATCTCCCAAAAGTCACTTGTTTCCTGCATTGTTTTTGGTTGAATGGTTTGGCTGCTAGTTGGGAGAAAACAGCCTGGAATGTACACTCCTGGGGAGCGGCTGAGTTTTGGTGATTACAGTCTTTCTGGTCCATTTTGCTAGTCAGGGGACAAAGGGAAGGGACAGGAGAGTCAGGAAATATAACTGTAGAGGTGGATTCCAGAAGCTACGAACCCGAAGAGAGGAAGGTAGCTGGAAAGAATGAATCTGAATCAGAAGGGGAACGAAGTTAGCCGACACCAGTCTGAAGAACTACAGTCAGGGTTTCCTGCGATGGCTATGTGTATGTGTGTGGGGAAGCTGGGTGAGGGGTATTTGGAGTCATTCAGGGCTGAACCAAATAGATTGAGAGCTCCTTGAGGGTAGGGACTGTCTTTTACCTCTTTTTGTATCCCCAGCGCTTAGCACAGTGTAGGCGCTGAATGAAGTCAGAGGTGCTGAAGATAACCTATAAAACTGGGGGTGAAGCCAGTGGGAGGCCTTGAAAGTTGAGGTGCTGAAGGGGCAACGACTTCGGAGGCCACAGGGATGAGGACGGGGGAAACCTGCGTGTGGGGTCGGGGGCACGGGACAGAAGAAGGAAGAGGGGCAGAGGTTCCTAGCGTGGCCGAGGTGGCTCACCTGGTTGGTTGGGGGTGACCCAGGGCCCCGGCCCGAAGATGATGCCAAGGTAGCGGACGAAGGCCTGGTCAAGCACCGAGCAGCCGGGCTGCACTGCCGAGGAGGCCGAGTACTGGAAGTGGAAGCTGCTGGGGGTCAGGGCGAAGGTCTGATTGGGGGACACGGAGATCTTCTGCGGCCACGGCCACACGTAGGCCCCCAACTGCTCCCTCGTCTGGGCCTGCTTCTTGACCGCCAGCAGGGGAAGCGACAGCAGCAGCAGCAGGGCCCCGACGTACCCCGGCCGGGCCATCGCGGACTGAGTGCCCAGTGGGAGACACTGCCCAGCTGCGAGACGCTTGAAACCCCACAGCCTTCCAGCCTCCCAGCCTCCCAAAGCTGGGGAGAGTCACGTGAGCTCCGCGGACAGGCGACTACCCCAGCAGGCTTCGCCACGGGATTGGATGACGCCTGGCCGACCGCGCCTGCGCGCCTCGGGAGGCCCCGCCCCTCTGCCCAGCCTCGGCCTGAGGAGGGGGTGTGTCCTCAGCCGGTTATCTCGGGGTCGGGTTACTGAGAGTCTGCAGACGCTCTCCTTATGGAAAGCGGGTGGGGGGCTCTTGGCAGTTTGGAGCTAGGAAAGAGAAGGCTTTTGGACCTAGGGAACAGAGCAGAGTCGGCAGTCACTGTGCCTCTCCATGGAGCCGGAAAGGCCTCCTAAAGAAGGTGGGATTTGGGATGTGGGAAGGTGGGGTGAGGAGCAGAGCATTCCGGGGTGGGGGCAGCCAGGCTGCCCCTGCGGCTGCCTGGTCTTAGGGTACGTGGAGCCCGTCCTTCCTACCCTAAGTGACTATCTGGTGCGGTTAGTTTTGGGTCGTAGCACATTAATACGCTGTCTGTGGAGCTGTTGAATTGCTCCAACCATTCTGGGGAAAAAAATGGAATTATGCCGAGAAAGTGAATAAAGTGTCCAAACTGTTTGACCCCAGAGATTCCCAAGGAGATCAAAATAAAAAAAGAAGGGATATGTGTGTGTGTTTGTGTGTGTATAAAACCGCTTATATGCAATACTTTCTATAGTAGCAAAGCATTGTAAACAAATTAGATTTCTAGTGATTGGAGAATGGCTAAATAAATTGTGTTGCATATTGCTGTGCTATAAGAAATGATGGATATAAAGAATATGGAGAAGAATTGGAAGGCATATATGAAGTGAGAAGAATGAATGAATGTATGAAAATACATTTATTATGTAACTACTTAATTAAGAGGCAGCTAGGTGTAGAGGTCAATAGAATCCTAGACCTGGAGTCAGGAAGTCTCTGATTCAAATCTGGCCACAGACCCATTAGCTTTGTGATCTTGGGTAAGTCACTTAACTTCTGTGTGCCTCAGTTTCCTCAACTTTCCTTCAAGGGTTGTTGTGAAGATAAAATGAGATTATATTTGAAAAGAGCTTGGCAAACCTTAAAACAATATATAAATGCTAGCTATTAATCAGTAAGCATTGATTAAGTGCCTACTAAGTGCCATTCACTGTGCTAAGCGCTGGACTGAAGCTGAGAGATGGAGTGTCTTGTTTGTGCAACAATCAGGAGGCCAATGTCTCTGGATTGAAGAATACACATCAGGGAGTAAGGTATAAAAAGACTGGAAAGGTAGGAGGAGGCTAGGTTATGAGGGGCTTTGAATACCAAACAGAACATTTTCTATTTGATCCTAGAGGTATAAGGACTCATTATTACTATGTACCACGCACTATGCTAGGATATATAAATATATGTATGCATATACACAAATATATATATACATATACAGACATATGTATGTATTGTAAACGACTGTTAAAGGGTCCCCTGAACTTGTCTTTTTGAGTTGCTGTATTTTCCAGAAACGTTGGACCTAGAGCATGCAGGAAGCCCTGAATGTGTCAAGGACGAACCCCACCCAAGCTGACATAATTTGTTGTTTGCATCTCAAACTGGACTCCTGTGTGTCTTTGGGAGTCAAGACAGGCACCGGACAGTCCATTCTAGGCTTGTGCATTTTGTAGATAAGGAGACCATTATACCTTCATGGTCTAGCAGTTTCCAAGGGAAAAGAATATGGCTTTTGCTGTCACCTTGCCCCTCTCCTTTGGATCCCCACACAAAATCTGGCCTTTTCCCATCTTTATTGTACCTTTGCCCTCCCATGTCATGCCCCTAGTTGATTTCAATAGTTCCTTCCAACTCTGAAAATCTGTGATTCTATTTCTGTACTTTCATAGGGAATAGATTTAGTTCCTTATCAGACATAATGGGCATGACCTTTGCACTGAAGCTGATGCCAGGGAAATTCAGTATATGGCATGTGGCCATGAACTTGCTTCATTATCATGGTCCTGGCTAAAGTTTCTGATAGCTTTTGGTTTATAGGTACCTTGGACATTTTGATTGGGCAGCTAGGTGGCGCAGTGGATAGAATGCCTGACCTGAAGTCAGGAAGACTCAGCTTTCTGAGTTCAAATCTGACCTCAAACACTACTGTATGACCCTGAGCAAATCACTTACCTTTATTTGCCTTAGTTTCCTCATCTGTAAAATGAACTGGAGAAGGAAATGGCAAACCATTCTAGTACCTTTGTCAAGAAAACCCCAAAAGGGGTCACGAGGAATTGGACAGGAATGAAAAAACAACTGAATAACAACAACAATAAACATTTTGATTGTTAACTTCACTAGTAATATATACTGCCTCACAGGGTAATGACTTTAGCATTAACTGGGCCACTTTTTATCCACTTCTATTACAAGACCTTGGGAAGAAGGTTGTATTATAGGTCTGGTTCAGATGAAAAATTGTTCCATGCCAACGTTTATGTCTTTGAACCATAGACATGAGGCCATACGTGAGGGTACAATAATTGAAATACTTCAGAAGATCTATGTTATTCTTTCTGCTGATGTACATCTCATCTTCTTTACTCCTTGAGTTTCTGTAGTCAAAAAAGAATTCATTATCTGATTGTAAAAATTCTGGTAGTAGATATAAGCGCCTCAAGGACCTGGATTATCTCATATTTGTTTTTATGTCCCTAGCTCCTAGCACAGTGCCTGACACAAGGTAGAGAGAGAGATATAAAAAAAAATAAGATATTTATTAAGTTTATTTTGTTGTTGTTAGTTGTTTTAGTCGCGTCCGACTCTTTGTGACCCCATTTAGGGTTTTCTTGGCATAGATACTGAAATGGTTTGCCCTTTCCTTCTCCAGTTCATTTTATAGATGAGGAAACTGAGGCAAACAGGGTTAAGTGACTTGCCTAGGGTGACGTAGTTAATAAGTGTCTGAGGCTGGATTTGAACTCAGGGCTTCCTGACTCTCAGTCTGGTGCTCTATCCATTGTGCCCTCTAGCTGCAGTAAGGGCATACTATGTGTCAGGTATCATGGTGAACACTTGGAATACAATTACAAGCAAAAAAGACAGTCTCCACATTCAAGGATTTTAAATCCTAGTAGGGCAAACAACTCATAAAAAGGGAGCTGGAAGGTGGGAGGAGGTGAAAAGTCTAGTGAGTGAAGGAGTGGAGTCGGGAGAAGAGTGAGCATGGATGGCCTGGACATCTCATGAAATCGTGATCCTGACCATAGACTTAGGAGTCAGAGAAAAGAGCCTCAGGGGTAGAGGCATCCCCAGGATGCAAAGGCTGCTAGGGAGAGGAGAAAATTCTGGAGAGTAGAAATGGAGTGAAGAAAGAAGAAGTAGTGCATAATTCATGCTTATTGATTGATTGGTGACACTGAACCTCCCTAAACTGGTAGAATGAACCTCAACACTATGGGTACATAGTCCATCATTGGGCTTGTACCCATAGCATTTCCAACTTGGTTTTATCTGCCAGAGGGGATAGCCTTCAAGAGCCTAAGGTCAGCCTTATGCCATGATGGTGTTAAGGGGTCCCCTGAACTTGTCTTCTTGAGTTGCCATATTTCCCAGAGACACTAGATCCAGAGTATGCAAGAGGCCCTGATCGTGTCAAGGATGAAGTCCACTTTGAGCTAATATAATGTGTTGTTTCATCCCAAGCTGTACTCCCCGTGTGTCCTTGGGAGTTGAGTGGGATGCTGAAATAGTGAAGCCGCCTCAGGGAAGGATAGGACTTGGCCTTGCTGAGACAACATTCCTAGAGTTCCCAGAAACTGCCTTGCTAAAAGAAACAGAATGTTCCTCAAGATTACAGAGTACATCAGGCAATGTCCCTGAAAGTATCTTGTTTGTCCAGACTTGGCGGCTCTCCGCTCCTTTTATCTTACTTTCCTTCTGAACCAACAGTTCCTTGTTTTGTGCCTTTTTGAAACCTTGTGGCTGGGGAAAAGTTTCCGCAATTACTGTGAGCTCTGAAGCCCAGCCAATGGGAAGAGGAGCTAGTGGGTGGGTGGGGGTTCCGCGTTAGGGTCTACATAAACTGGCTTTGAGCTGCATTCCCTTGCACACCCTGGCTGGAGCCATCTTGAGCAATGCTGGGTGTGTCTTTCTTGTGAGAAAGCCAGTAAACAAACTATTCTTTTTTGCTAACATCTCTGAGTCTCCGATTCGTTGGTGAGGGTCTCTGTACCCCACACAGGGTCAAGACAGGCATCAGTCAATCTGTACACAATTTATCAGTCTATATAGCTGGGACCCTTACAGATAAGCAGGCCATCATATCTTCATAGTTTAGCAGTTCCCAAGGGAAAAGAATGTGCTTTTGCCATCTTATTCATGATTTCTCCTCCCCTTTGGGAGGAATTAGTCCTTTCCCAATCCCCACTGCTCTTTTCCTCCTGCTATGCCACTCCCATGTGGGAGGGGATTGTTCTTTCTCTTCCCTTCTTTGTTGTAATCTCATAAATATGCAAGCTTCTGTTTGGATTGTGAACTCTTTGCACTTGCATAGGGTTCCATGTTGCATGTTTATTTGTCTTGTAATAAACCCAGCTTTTTTCACATATGTTTCATGAAGTTGTGATTTCCTGTTGACAATGGGACATTAGAATAAGACTTTAGTAGAATATGACTGCTACTACTAATACTTTTTTAATAATTATAACTTATTGAATGATTTTGCATCTATTATCTCACTCAATCCTCATAATAATCTTGTAAGGTATGGATCACTATTATCGTTTTACAGATGATGAAACAGACTAAGTTAGGTAATTTGTCCAAGGTTAAAAAATTAATGAACCACAGAAAGTGACATTTAAAACAGTTTTTAATGATGAAGTCATTATAAACATTGAAAGTTGACTTGCCTCAGACAAACTCAGCATGTTGGTGAGAACCTTTGTCAATGCCCCATTTGCATCATTGTTTAAATCTATTTTGGTTGCTGGTTAGCAGATGGGAAAATGTCACACTAAAGGAAAGCATTTCCAAATTATCATTGTTTTTGAGGATGGCCAATGACTCAGCAACAAAAGATTTTAAATGGTGTTTGTGTAGGAGGAAACAGTCATGATTGGGGCTCAGATGGGCAGGCAAGCAAAGCCAGATGGGGGATATCCAGTACCTAGAGAAAAGACACACAGGAGTAGGACAAATGATTGGCAGTGATATATGTTCAAGTAAGCAGGCATTTGGTCTCATGCCCTCTAACTGTGAGTGCTCCTCAGGGCTCTGTTCTGAGTCCTCTTCTTTTCTTTCTCTGTTTTCTCTGATAATCTGATCAGCTTTCATGGGTTTAATTATCTCTCTGCAGATGATGCACCTGTCTACATATCCAGCCCCATTATCTCATCTGAGCTTCAGCCTTTCATCACCAACTGCCTACAGACATTTCAACTTCTGTGTCCTACAGACATCTTAAATTAAAAGTGTCAGAACTCATTTTTTTTTCCCCTCTAAAATCTCTTCTTCTTCCAAACTTCCCTATTCCACCCTCCAGTCTCTTAGGTTTATAACTAAAGTGCCAGGCTTGACTCCTTACTCTCCTTTGCACATGTCCAGTCAGTTACTAAATTTTATTATTTTTGTCATCCACAGTTTCTTGATCTCCTCTCACTTAGACTGTTGTTGTTTGTCCTTTGTTTTTGAACAAAACCAGTGACATCATGGGTGATGTCTTAACTTATACGTAAATTGGATTTAAGTGAGACACAGTTGCACAAAGTCGTCAACCTCACTCTCTTCCTGACCCACTGAAATACAGTGGTAGGACAAAAGTCAAGACTACTGGCGATGACCCAGGATACAGTGGATGACCTTTGCATCTTTGATGCCTGACCATGCTCTCATCTGCCCATTTTGCCAGGGAAAATCTTCACATGCTTGGGGTAAACATCCTCTAACTCACTGACAGGTTTGAGGTCTGTTAGTTACCCTCAACCTGGTTTAACTGTCTTTCACAGCAGTTTTTACCAGGGTTTGGCCGCTACATGCTACAGCTTCTTGGAGCCATGGGTGAGAAATCAAGTGGACACCAAAGGTGGATGAGCAGCCCTGAGAAGGGCTCAACAAGCACTCACACCAGAATTTCTCCTGAACACCCCATGTACCCCAGTTCCCTCATTGATCTTACCGCCTCAAGTTTCTCCCTTCTCCAATCCATTTTCCACAAAGTAACCAAAATGATTTTCATTAAGGACAACTGTCACCTTGTCACTCTTCTCAATAAACTCCAGTCACTCCCTATTGCCTCTAGGATAAAATATAAACTCCTCATTTTGGGCTTCTCAAGCTCTTCACAACTTTGTGCCAACCTGTCTTTCCAGCCTCGTTATATGTTACTCCCCTTCCTATACTTTTTGATTAGACTGGCCCTCTCACTGTTACTCCATGTCCTGTCAATTGCCCATTCCTAGTATGTACTCCTTCCTAATTTCTGCTTCATAGAGTCCTCATTTTTCTTCAAGATACAGCCCAAGTACCACCTCCCCTATGAAATCTTTTGTAATGCCCCCAAATGCTACTATCTTCCTTTCTGATGACTGCTATTTATTTTGTACTTATTCCTTATATATTTATTATGTACACACATACACATACACATACATACACACTGTCTCCCCCACTGTACCTTCCTTGAGAGTACATATTGTTTCACTTTTTGTATTCCTGGTACCTAACACAGTGCCTGGTATATAATACAGCCTTGATAAATCCTTGTGGACCCTTCGACATAGGAAGCTAGGCAGAGGTCCTGAAGAGCGGGCATTTGACGTCAGAGAAGTACACTAGGAGCAACTGAGGACCCAGCTAGGGAGATTAGGGTGTAGGGACAGATTCTAATCATTAGCATCCAGAAGTGGCATTGGCTGCATTGAGGTAATGAGTGCCCCCCATTGGAGGTCTGCAAGCAAAGCCTTTTTAGGTATATTGTGGGAGAGATTCTTGTCAAGTTGTAAGTTGGACTCCATGACCTCTGAGGTCCCTTCTGAGAGATAGAATGAAAGTGTTTTTATCCATAAATTTGGAGCAAACAGCTAGAAAAGTAACTAAGTAAAACGGGATAGAGCTGGTCTTATCTTGTTTTGCTGTTAGGAGTCAGTTAAGTAGAACAAAGGTTAAGCTTTGTTTAGCATGGGCATGAACATAGGCTCATGAACGTTAACTTCTCCACCCTGGGCAGGGCTAAGATGCCATTTTCTGAACATGTGATGTTATGTAGAAGGAGGAGGAGACATATCAAGGGGTAGATGTGTAATAGGCATACCGGAAAGTTGTACAGTCCGGAGTACTCAGCCAATGAGGAAACAGAGGAGGGACTTTGTGGCCGGGAGTAGAGATAAATAGTGAACTCTTGCTTTGGTACGGTGTGTCCTATTCCATAGGACCCCTGCAGTTGCAATTGTGTGATAAACTGGGCTTTTAACTTCATCCCTCCTGAGTCCAAATGAGTTATTTCTCCCAAGTCTAAGAGGAGAGCCTGTGTTTAGGTGATTCTGGTGGACTTTGAGAGTAAGAGTCAGAGGAGCCGCAGGAAGAAGCCCAACTTGGAATGAGATCAGAATGGGCCACCAACAAGTCTGCCTTGAAACCAGGGGGGGGCAGGAAGAAGCCCAACTTGGAATGAGATCAGAAAGGGCCACCAACAAGTCTGCCTTGAAACCGGGGGGAGGAGGAAGGGAACAAACATTTTCTTTGTTAAGCACATGCTATGTGCTAGGCACTGTGCTTAGTGCTTTACAAACGTGATCTCATTTGGAAGGTATCAGCAAGTAGGTTCAGAACTTTTTATGAATTTTATTAATAATCTCTCTCTGTACCACTGGCTTTAAAAAAAATTTCTCTATCCTCTGAGGCAAGAGATGAGAAGAATTCCTGGAATTAAGGAAGCCTTTATAAAATGACTTAGGAGACCAGGAGGATGCAGCTTTATGGACTACCACTGGTAGTAGATAGTAACCTTTGGGTGGGAAATGTGTGAGCATGAACTGAGGAATAGGGAGAGAGGTTTGGACACTTGAGTACAAGCTTAGTAAAAGATGACAGTGTCCTTAGCGTGTGGGGTCCTGGGAATAGAGAACCTTCACCCATGCTCTTAGCCCTGCCCCCAGACAAGTTCCGTGTCAGTTAGAAGATGTGATGGAAGGCCAGCCAGCCACAGAAGCACCATTGGGACCCAAGGCCCTGACTTTCCACATCCCTTGCACTCAGGAGACTGAAGGAGATCACTGCTACCAGAGGGTGAGAAGGCCCTTTGGGGAAGGTTCTTGCTTTGAGGGGAAGTTGAAACTAGGCAGGGGCTATTAGAGGTTGGGTCACTCTGAAGATTTTTCCCCCCAAAGATATATTTTTCTCCTCCCCATGGGAGAAGGGGGTGGGCCGAGGTCTGTAAGAGACAAACCTTCATGGGAGGCCTTGGGACCCTGGAGTCTAAGAGGTTTCTGAGAGGAGCCCTAGTTCTGTAGGATTTAGGAGTTGTGTCTTTATGGGTGTGTATGTGGGGGGGGGGTTGATTTTATTTGAGTGGAGGGGTGAATCATTCTCAACGATGTTCACTTCCATAGCCAATTCTACCTACCCAAAACCACTGGGTTGCCTTGTTGTCACCATGGCAGCAGCAGCATCTCCTGAAGCAGACCCATCTTTATATCCGAACGTTCTGTGCTGGGTTGTGTGGGTTCACTTTCATCCTGCTCCTTTGCATGTCCCCGATGTCCTGGGTGCAGTTTCTCTTGGCAGACAATGGCCTTGAGCTCTATGCGGGACTCTGGACCCTGTGTGGACATGAACTCTGCTGGAGCCACGTACCCAGTGCACCCTGTGAGTTTTCCCAGGGTCTCTGGACCCCTCACCTAATACCCCAGATGAATTCCCTACAACACCAGGCCTCCTTGTTCCCTTACTGACCTCTTTGTGCCTTCTAAGGTCTTCCTGACCCTTCTCCCCAACGTTTAGTGTTTTTCTTCTTAAAATTGTGAAATTGGCCAAATTTGTCTTGGAAGGCAGCATGGTGCAGTGAGTAGAGTAATTGATGATGTGTCAGGAAGACCTGTGTTCAAATCCTGACTGTGTATTTGTGGGGCAAGTCCCTTAACTTTTCTGGGCCTCAGTTTTCTTATTTGTAAAATAAGGGGGGGGGTGGGTTTAATGACTTCTGAAGATCCTTCCAAGCTCAAAATCTATGCTCTCTTTGCCTATATGCCCTTTCTGCCCCTCTAGAATATGCCCTGCTGCCTTTTAGGTAATTAGGGCCTAATTTTCTCTGCCTCAGTCTCTTATCACTTGCTCTTAGTAGGAGAGCTGATATTAACTATTTACAAGCTGTAAAGTAAGGAGACTGGTTTGTTGAAGCTGGGGAGGTATGATCATAGCAAAGACATGCTTTCAAGAGTAAGCTTTTTTTTGGTGTTTTTTCTTTTTACAACAGTCATTTTTAGACATATCTACCCCTTAATAAGCTCTCCCTTATCACAAAGAAAAACCAAGGGGTATAGTGGCTATATTTGACAGTACATGCAGCATTTCACACCCATAGTTCCTCAGCTGTCTAGCAAAAGGAGGGAAGTAGTTCCTTATTTTTTTTTCTAGGGCCAAGATTGGTCCTTATAGTTATCCAGCTTTCAACTTTATATTAGTGTTATTATCATCTGTTTTATTGTAGGGATTTGCCATGCATATTGTTCTCTAGTTATGTTTGCTTCACTCTGCATCCATTCATATAAGTCTTTCCATGTTTCTTTCAATTCCTCATATTTGTTATGTCTTATAAGACATTAATATTCCATTATATTCATAGACCACAGTTTATTCAGCCATTACCCAGCTGATGGGCACGACATTTGTTTCCAGTTATTTACAGCAGAGATGTGTTGCAATATATTTCTACTTGCTTAAAGAACACTTTCAAAGTTGAAAGTCCTGTGATTATATATGACATTGGCATATATGATGCTAAATCTGCCCTTTGTTCCTACTCAGCATATCTTTTTGTGCTGCCCAGACTTTGCATATGGATCTCAATTTAATTAAGCTAGGTGGTATAGTGGATAATGTGCTGGGTCTGGGGTCAGGAAGACCTGAGTTCAAATCCAACCTCAGACACTAGCTTTGTGATGCTGGGTGAGTAACTGCCTTAGTTTACTCAACTATAAAATGGGGATAATAATAACACCTCCCTTGGAGGGTTGTTGAGAGGATCAAATGAGATAATATTTGTAAAAAGAAGTGCTCAGCATAGTGCCTGACACATGATGGTCACTGTATAAATGCCCCTTTCCTTCCTTCCCTTTCTCTTCCTCCCCCTTCTCTCTAAAACCCTTCTCAGATTTAGCTATTTTCTTATGATTAGCCTCTCTACAATAGACTCTCTGATGGCTACATGGAAAATCCTTTCTTAATGCTCGTAAGAGCACTAGGTGCATTCTGCTGGTTTTGCCTCATGGCCTCATGTTGGAATATATGATTATCATGTCTCTGACCTGTTCATGTTATTGGAAAACTCCTGCCACTTCCCCTCACATATCAGACATTCGCCTGGCCATGGGGGTGAGATGGGTTAAGAAAGGGGGACAGTTCCCATGAGGTTACATAGAGCAGTTTGTAATGTCCCAGGGCAGTCAAGAAGTCAGCAGTCATCACCTGTTGCCATAAAGGCAACAATGGAGGTAACTCGAAGTTCATCAGAACAGGCTGAAATTTTTATGGGCTTCTAGGACTAGGAATCAAAGAGGAGGGGTGTGCAGGGGAAGGGGTTGTGAGGGATTTCATGGGTCATATGTGCAGAGCTGGAAGGGCCAGGGCCATAGAGGTCATCCAGTTCAACCCCCTCTCATTTTATAGAGGAGAAAAGCAAGGCCTAGAGAGTTTCAGTGACTTGCCCAAGGCACATGGCTAGTTAGTGGTGTAGTGAGAATTTGAACTCAGGTCCTTTGACTCCAGGATGGCAGGGAAAGATCTAGGGGTGTGATGGTAAATGTTCAACAACCAGTTCTCTCAGAAAAAAAAATGCAGTCATGACAGACTTTTAAGTTTAATCTGCATTATTAATACTTCCTTAAGTCTCGAATATCAACAAAACAATAAATCAAGTCCCGATTTTGTAGCGTTTGTTATTTCCGAGGTACAGATGCTCATACTGAAAATTTCACGATAGCTGCCTGGAGCAAGCCTGAGCCAGCTCCAGCATATCCCCGGACCTTGCCTTTTGACTGTGTCTTCAGGGCTTCTGAGCCAGACTGCTTTGGAGTAGCCTTCACATCCTCTGTTTAAGGAGTTCTGCCTATTTCCCATCAGCCCTTCGATTATTCCATTCCTAACTTTGTATCATCTTCTCAGTGATCCTGAGACAATTTGTTTGTTCCTTCCTAAAGCCAGGTGGAGGCCCTGGCCTTGACAGAGTGTATCATAAGAAATGCTTCTAGAAAAGTGGAGCTTGTGAGATGAGATGGTGATGATGAGGAGCCTACTATCGTACACAGGACACAGATTTGGTTTTTTTAAATAAGCAATCTCACTGGGAGCTCCGTGGCTTAGGAGATAAATTTAGATGAATACGCTCATTGGGCAGGAAGACTTGAAGATGAAGGAAGCTTCTGGGAAGATTGTGTTGAGCACTGAGGGATGAATGGAAACAGTGAAGACTTGTCATTCATTCTGATTTTTCAAGGGACCTCCACGGCTTTGAGGAAACAGTTAATTGGATGTACTGTTTCCAGTAGGGCCCAAAATCAGTGTCAAAGTCTGCAGTGGAAACATTCTCAAATCCCTAAAACCTAAGAAAGCATGCGTGTCAGCACCCCAAGGAAAAGTGCTGTTGATTTCTTTGCTGTCACTAGCATTGTTACGAAAGCAGAATTCATTCACAGGGTCAAATGTTTGATCAGGTTTTTGACTTCATAGCTTTTTTTGTGGGGAGGAGGAGTAGAGGAAGGAGCACTTCTGTTCTCCAAATCTAGCATCAATCATGGCTGTTCTATTCTCTATAAGGTGTTACTTGACAAATCCAAAGGCCATTCCCTCCTTTTCTTCTCTGTTCTCATCCTCCTTAACCTCTTGGTAGTATTTAATGCTGTTGAACATGCCCTCCTTGATCCCTTCTCCTCTTGTGTCTTCTGTTGCATTATCCTTCCTTGGTTGTCCAGTCCTAACCACTCCTTCACTGGGACAGGAAACACCTTCACTTTTCCCCCCTATCCTTTAAATAGGTGTGTCCCACAAACAAGGCTGTGTGAAGTGGTAGAAAAAGTGTTGGGTTTGGAGTTGGAGGATCTGTCTTCTCATCCTCGCTTTGCCACTTAGTCTCAGTGTAGCTTAAGACAAATCGTTTCCTCTTTGGGCCTTAGTTTCCTCATCTGTAAAATGAAGGAGTTGAATCTCTGAGTTCCCTGTCAGCTCTAAATCTGAAATCCTATGGTTTTGTAGCCTTCTGTGTCTTCCTCGGTATAGTCTTGAGATTGAAGGTGAAAACAAAAGGGAGGAGCATTCCCTCTTTCCTCTGGAGTGTCAGCATTGTGGGCCAGGTCACACCTTTCCTTCTTCTGTCATCTCCTTGTACTCCCCAGTCATGGCTCTCGGCTCTACCCTGGCAGAGAGCTTTCTCTGTGTGTACGTGGGGAGGGATAATGAATGAATGAATGAAGAAGCGTGATCCTTCCAGTCTTGGACCAGATAGCAGATGATACTCAGTCTCATTTTAGCCCAAGGGCAGACAGCCTCTCCAGTCCAGTTTAATTCTGTCTTTTGGGAAGTTATACAAATTATTAATGACCAAACCCCCAAGATGCTCTCTAATTTTTAGCTCACAGCCCCCTTTTTGCTATTAAGGATAGACACAAGCCTCAAAGCAGTTAAGAGCAATCTTATTTGTACCTAGAGAAAGTTGGTTTGGGTACTTTTAAAACAGAAGATGTAAACATAGCTTTGAAGAACTGAAAAACTTTAGTGTAAATCTCTTCCATTTCAGGCAGCAAGAAGGAAGGGGAAAAAAACCCACTTTCCTGTTGGTACCTGTTCAACCAAACAGAAAGTAAGAGAGTAGGGACTTCAACCCTGACTCTGGCTGCTAAAAGTGGAGAAAGTGGTGTTGCCGGGTCCCAGGCAGAAGCAGGTCCTCAGCCTTCTACTTGCCAGGACCTAGGATCCCATTGTAGTCAATATTTCATCTCCTTTCCATGCCATCTTCTTGACTGCTTGGAAACATGCAGCTGCTTTACCCACTGCCCTTTTCATTTGTCACCTTTCCCTTGAGACTTTCTTAGTTTCTTCCTGGCGGTGAAGAAATCAGTGCTGGCTCTTTGAAAACTATTTCCCAGAAACCCACACAGCTAGCTTCTGAATACGTCTCCTTGCTTACTGGGGTCTGCCAAGAAAGTTGGTTACATTATCATCATCATTATTATTATTATTGTTCCTAAGATTTGGAAAGGGTTTTTTCTTTTTCATGCAAATTTTATTTTTAAAAAAACAAAGAAGTATTTGTTTTGTTTCTCTCCTGTGTATTCTTCCCTTAAAAAAAAAGAAAAGAAAAACCAAAACCTTATAACAAATTATGCATAGTCAAGAAAAAACCCCAATACATTGGTCACGTCTAAAAATGTGTCTCATTACACATATTAAATGTCACTTTTTAAGCAGGAGATGGTAGTCTTTTTCATCATCAGTTTGCTGAAATCATTAGTCATCACATTGATCAGAATTCTTAAGTTTTCAAAGTTGTTTGTTGTTATTGGATAAATGATTCTTCTGATTCTGCTTATTTTACTCTGTATCAGTTCTTAGAAATCTTCCCAGTCTTCTCTGAAAGTATCTCTTTCACAGCTTCT